TAATGATAGTTTCTGTGTTGGAGAAGCTGAACATGCTGGAGGGTGTGCTATGTGTGCTAATGTGGTGCTAAAAAACCTCGGGTCGGGGAACCACAATCAGAATGCACAACGCGCCACTGTATATACATTATGTACGTACGCATGTATCTCTATATATATATATACATACATACATATATGTATATATATATATACATTATTCGTTTTTTTGTCTCTTTGTGTATGCATCTCTCTATCACTCACTCTCTTTTCTGTTGAACAGCCTATTAACCAACCAATCAATCGACCAGTCTATGTATCTATGTATCGCTCTTATTGAGTTTGGCCCATGCGTGTCTGTTCTCCGTTGCTGTCCTCGTACTGCGTGTGGTGGATGCAAACCTCATGCAGCATTGCACGATTCGCAAGTTAGACTTCAGCCTGGACCCTCAGCGAGACAGCCTATGCTAAGTCTGAGTGCGAAGTGGAACACAAACAAACGTAAACAGATACGGACGGCTGAGTCCGGCTCGCGCTCGATTGTCGCAAAGTGCTTCTCTACCACACCCAGGACAGGGTGATGATCCACCGGCGGCAGGCTAGCATCCTGATGCAAGATTTTTTCCAGATGTGGGCTCCGTCCCACTACACTGTAACTTCTCAAACATTAATACCCTGAGCCATCTGTGGTTCTGAATACTCCTCATCTCAGGAACCAAAGCCAAGGCTTACTTGTCGGCTTGTCTTGTCCGGTCCAGCCACAACAAAAACCACAGGGCCTTCCGGGCTGAACCTGTTCCTGAACTCGAGATTGGCTGGAAAGTGTGCTCACTGACGTGCCTGTCGTACAGTACTAGTTGTATGTCTGTCCCGGCCCACGAAGCGCATACATGCATACTGATGTGCGCGTTGGCCGCTTGCCACAGCACCATGCACTCCAGCGACCCAGGTCGACTTTGGTTGCTGTAAACCTATATTCGCGAAAAGAAACCACTGTGGCGAACCTCCGCCCGCAAGTATGAGGCCGTCATCGTTAGGGGCTCGGCTCTAAGAGTGCTGGGCATACAGTTGGGGAATGTTGAGGCCTTCATAGGCCAAACGAGACCTGAAAAGCGTCTGGTGCCCAATTTCAGGCTAATCTTTGGCAAGAGAGTTCTTGTGTTGCAGCTGAGTCTCTGTCAATGAGTCAATGAGTGCACCACGGCATTTTAACAAAACATCGACCACGATGGGTTACGACAAGAATGACTGAGGTTTCAGCACGAGGTGGCATGTTGTAGACGCTGGACACCTGAACCGCTCTGTTGAGTGTGGGTTCAGGTGAGTGTCTCAACATGCATGCAAGCAGAACCAACAGTTGGATGATCAAAGGCGTCAGCTCGCAATGATCTACAAACGAGGGCACACAACATCATTGGCGGATCCGCAGCTGTACGATGTCCCTTTCGGGCACGGCACAGATGCCACGTAGAGCTTCAACTCGACGGGAGCTTTGCCATCGCGCGTGGCCTTGACCTGGCGAAGGGGATTAAGATACGGAAAGGCATCAAGTAGTGAGAATGTCTACCATACTTGCACGGTATGATATCACAGCCGCATACGACGAATCCCGGTCCACACGCTTACGCTGCAGTCGATATGTTCTGGACACATCTCCGTGTGCAGGTATTCGTCATGGCCCTATGATCAAGAAAACTGTAAACCTTGGGTAGATGCGTCGGCTTGCATGGCTGCAATGAAGCCCCTCAATGCGCACAAGCTGCAGTCAGCCTTCGAACCCTTCAAGTACACGTGCACGGTATCTGGAACTTTCGCGAGTTATAATGCTTCTTAAGATTTGAATGACGGTATAACATGATCTCTCTGGCATAACTACGTGACATGTTCTCTATATATAGTGAAGTAGAACACTTTATACGTCTATGTGTACATATATATGTACACAAAACTGAGAGAGAGGGAGAGAGAGATAGAGAGAGAGAGAGAGCAAGAGAGCTGGATTGAACACTTTGTCCTGCAGCATGGTTGCTGCGTCTGTGTGTATCTATATACAGATACTCTATTATATAGTGTAATATATATATATATAACAAACAAACAAACAAACAAACAAACAAACATACATACATACATACATGCATACATACATACATACATACATACATTAGGTACAAACATACATACATGCATGCATAGAGACATACAGTCATATGTCTTCAACGAAATGAGATGACTCTGTTTCTGCGTAGCAGGCTGCTGCGGGTGTCACTGAAACTGATGGCTATGATGGTTTAGTGCATTTCAGGTGTATGACTGACTATTCTTATGTACTATAGTCGTCAGATCAGTTTTAGCTCATGCCACGACATGGGATCATGGATTGCTCCTTGAACATTGCATTGTGTACGCAAACAATGAACATATCTATTTACACACAGCTACAAATGCACGCATGTTGGCGACGGGTGTTAACGATATCTCAGGAACCTACAACAACTTGTAATACTGTTTCATCTTGCTCAAGAACATCTCCAGTAGGCAGTGTACACTTCTCGTACCACGTGCTTGTCAAACAATCTCACACCTAACGAGTTCTCTCTCTCTCTCTCTCTGTCTCACTCTCTCTCTCTCTCTCTCTTTCGGTCCCTCCCTCTCCCTATATAAAAAAGCTATACAAAAATACATATATGCATATTATATGTATGTATATACGTATACTGCGTTGATCAATCTCCCTTCATCTGGAAATGGTTCCTTCGCGAATTCTATCATGCCTTTCGCGGAACCATTGCGGAATTGTCGCACGGCATGCTGCCACCCGTAGCAGCAGTTGCAGTAGTAGTAGT